GCCTCTCGAATACACACCGAGCGTGCTGACCGCTACACTACGAAGGCATGCTAAGAAGGCGAAAGAAATACCATATAACGCAACGAAAATGCTTCACCTGTCAAATAATCTTTTTAGCGACAAACTGATAATGAAAATAATTAAAAAAATACCACAGTGTAAAAACTTCAGATTACTAACTGACATCTCAAGGAAGGTCCGCTCAGTTAAATATAAATTTTTTTTTATACGAAGGAAAAGAATTAGTATTATAATTCTGTAAGTTTTAAACTAATTTTATGATTTTTTGCTTCCAAAATTCTACTCAGAGATCCTTAAAAATACCGTTTCTGCCCTTTGCTACAATTTCATTTTAAATATTTAGTTACAGTCACTTCAAACATTTTATTATCATTTGAAACACGTATTAAGAATATGAATGTTTGAAATTTCAAATTCCAGTTTAAGTAAGTGTCAAATGTTTAGCTTTCGGAAAACTGTTGAATCATGAAAATAATTTTTATTAGCATTGGCTAATTTAACATAAGCTGTCCAACTAGAGAATGCCTTAAAAAATGCTGAAATATTGGAAGAAGAAAAGTAAGATTTAAAACTATCAGCTACTGCCAACTGATAAAAAAATAATCTTTACAGCTGATTAAAATTAAAGCTACATTTAAGAAGTATTTCAGTTTTAAAATTTACAGAAATGGCTTCCGGGTCTGTGCTGCAATCGTCAAAGAGTATAAAAGAAAATGTCAAAATATAAAAATTTTTTATCTTTTAAACAAAATTTTGAAAAGAATATGTAGACAGAGTCTTGAATTTTGTAATTTTTCTATTATAAGGTGTTAAAAATTGGCGTTATTCATGCACTCATGAAAAACATAAATAACACTGGTGATAAAAAAACAACATTTGTTGCAAAATATAATGAAAAATCCATAATAAAATAAAATTTTAAATTATTAAATTTCCGATGATGAACAATGCACTTTTACAATATCAGACATAAATGTACAATCTTATGCATCTTCCATTTGTAACAATATCTGTTTTGAACAGAAATGATTTCATCGCTAGATGAAAGCAAAAAAAAAAAACCTCTTCGAAGTATTATAAAAACATTCCAACTAAGCAGTTTCCATCACTTTGGAATCCTCCTAAACTAAGATGTTGCTTTTTTCTTTAATGTATATCCTGCGTATTAAGTTATAGTTATTTCCTACGTATAGTTAACTCCCACCAGCGGCCGAGCGCTAAAGTCGCTGAACACTGGTAGTTCGGTCCGAGGTTCGAATCCCGGGAACAGGCTGGCTGCATGGGTGTTTTCGTGGTTTTCCCCATGTGTAACGTGTAAACGAGCCAGTTTCCCTTAGAAAGTCCTCCACGAAAGGCATCCCTCTTCTTAGGCAGATAGCCCTAGTGTGCTTTGCCATAATTAAATACACCACACCACACACACCACCATCACTTCGGCTTTCAATAAGTATTTGTATTCTTATTAAATATTAAACATTGAAGGTATAATCTAAAAATCATGCAATTTTTACTGGTTGAGACAAAGGCTATACTTTCGTCCATACTAGTAATATGTAAGAATAACAGTATCTTTAATAATTTAATCTACACCGGTCAGCTAGATCAAAGAAGACGGGGTAAACTGGCGTTGTTGCCTTGCCCCACTGTGAAGTAGCGTAGCAGAGTGTCCAGTTATCTGTTATCTAATGGTATAGCCAATCATCCTAAGAATAGTTCAAAAACCTACATCATGCTATACGAAAACAAATCGAAGCTTGAAACTAGGGTTGGAAGAAAAACCTTAATTGCAAGAAACGGTGTTTTTGATATAATTGCCTTAGCTAATATAGTTCACCTAAAGATCTTACTGTATGATTACGCAGAGTACGTGGACTACATGGGTAATGATAGCGATTTCATCACAGCACACGTCTGACGACAGAAATAGCTAGGCAAAAGCAGCTTCTCTAACGATAAGATGAGATGTTGAGAGGAGGAAGTCTTAACGTCCGCAAAAGCAAACAAGGAACTGCTTTTAAATCTTGTCTCACTTAAGATCGTAAAACTTCGGAAACTATAAATTTGTAAAATAAATACCTTCGCACAAAGGATTAACAGTTTAGTTCTCCACAGATGAACAATACCGCTGAAAGATTTAATTTAATCCGCCGTTAGCAAAATCACCACAATCTGATTGTATAACTATTTAACTAATTGTTTTCAGACATTTCAGTCAAACACTCTTCATCAAGAAAAAGAAATGACACCAAGAATGTATCCTCCCTTTGTAAGCAAATATGATATTCCTTTGCTGTTTCAAAGATACTAAGAAATAGGTAAGGATGTAAGATCAAAAATATGGCCAGAACTGTTATATCTGGAGCTTCCGAAACGAAAAGATTAAAATTTCTCGGTTTCACGTGACTGGCAAACAAAATAATTCTAAGCATGAATGAATCCTAATATCTCTTGTAGAGTTCCTCACTTTGTTAATGCTGATTTACAGTTGAACATGAAGAATCTTAAGTACTGATAAGCGAATAATCGCTTGAGTTGTTGTGATAGGAAATAACAAGATAGAAGGGTAAAATAGGGGATTTGAACTTAAAAGACTAAGAATAGTACTAAACTAATCTAAACTAAAGAGATATAACCGAAACTATCAAGATTCTAACCGAGTTGGCTTCTCGTAACTGCGAAGCTAACAAAGGCCTAAAGTACGGCCGAGCGTAATAATAGCTTATGAGAGAGTAGCCTAAAAAGGCGGACGCGTGCAGACAGGATACCCGGTAACTCTCTCACTAAGACCGAAGAACTTCGCGGTTAAATACCGCTCTTCCTCATTATGTATTCAGACATGATTCTAAAACTAAGTTCTGGCCGGAAGTAGTAAGTTGAAGTTAAGAATCGACAGGAAAGGAACTTAAAATTTAACTGTTCATAAAATTGCATAATCCTTACACTCTTAACATTTAAAAATAAATTTAAAAGAGTGCCTTAATATGGAATTTCTACATTTAAAAAGCCAGCTTCCAACAGTTGGTCCGCGTGGGCAGTAACAGATCTGCCCAAAATGGTAACTAACGCTACCACTAACAGATCTGCACAAAATAAAATTTGCTCAGTCATTACATATTGTGCCGCTGCCTACTCAGCCATTACAAACTAAATACAGCCGTCCCCAAACATGCTCACAACGTACGTACGTGTCTACAACAATAGGAGTACACTCCCGAACTATATTCAATGCTGTTACCCAAATTCCCCTTTATATGTAGTTCTGTATTGATAAGTAAATTTTCAGTTTGTTTCTTTGTTTTTCAGCTGCCCATATCTTTGTGTATGTTAGATCCTCCTACATTAGCTTTCTGAAACTAAATTTTGTTACTACTGTAATTTAACTTTGCTCATATAAAGCTGTTATATTTTTTGTTTTTCCCTGATTGCTCTAAGTGATACGTGTACTCAAATTTCCTATAAATCAAAGTGTCCTGTCATCGTTAACTTGTCTTCAAGTCCATGCATCGCCATTATTAGCATATTCGACAGTTCAGCAAAACTCATGACACTGCTAAAGCCCTAGTTTCTTCCGACGGATTGGCATTTAAACTCCGCATAACTAACATCCCGGTAACTATACGTAGATTGGTGTGTGGTGTATTTAATTATGGCAAAGCACACGAGGGCTATCTGCCTAAGGGGAGGGATGCCTTTCGTGGAGGACTTTCTACGGGAAACTGGCTCGTATACACGTTACACATGGGGAAAACCACGAAAACACCCATGCAGCCAGCCCGTTCGCGGGATTCGAACCTCGGACCGAACTACCAGTGTTCAGCGACTTTAGCGCTCGGCCGCTGGTGGGAGTTAACTATACGTAGGAAATAACTATAACTTAATACGCAGGATATACATTAAAGAAAAAAGCAACATCTTAGTTTAGGAGGATTCTTTAGTTAAATCACTAGATAATTAAAATTTACTTGAAGCTTCATAAAACCTGAAGTGTTAATTCAATTAAATAAATTAATAATTATAGTAATTAAAACTAATAGTTAAACTTAAGCAGTGAAACCATGAATAAAGTTGAGATTTCCTGTATTTGGATACAGATAGCCTGGGAGCGAGGGTTAGTGGCCTACAGTTAAGCACTGAGCTGTTTGTGGTCGGTCACCTTCTAGAAAAAGAGCATGTATTACATGGATGTAAGTGAAGCAGATCTAAACAAATTCATGACATTGCTTTCGTTGGAATATCTATTTTCTCCCTCCTTCCGTAACACACTCGATTCTTATTCGAAAGTTCCAAGTTCGATTCCCGTCGAGAGCATTGCACATTTTTCACATCTCCTGCTTCAGAAGAGAAAACTGATAAGGAAAGGTACTAAAGGTAGATAAGTTTGACTAAATAAATATAGCATTTTTCACTGAAAATATTTCTATTTTTTAATGCACTAAAACTTGAGAATAAAATTAAACCAAATACCTCGCTTTTTGCAAACATTTATATATGCACATAATAACAAGAAAAATTCGAGGTAATTTGCATAATTTCTCTTTCAAACTATTTTCAGCTTCCCCCCCGTAGAAGCCATAAATGATGCTAAGTAATAATTTATCGGTTGTTGTATTATCCAATTCTAACCGAGATCAAGGATTTTAGCGTTTGTACTGTGATCGAGAAAAATCACGTGTCTACCACCTTATCACAGTTGAAGAAAAAAAGTTTTCTTTCTTGAAAGAAAGTTTTGCTTAGAAAAAAGAAGAAAGAAGTAGCAATAAAATATGAGCATTGACGCTGAGCTATTTTTTATCAATGCATTTCTTCTCGACTTCGTTCCTCGCTCGCTAAGCTTTGTTTTCGTATCTCTGGAGTATCACATCTAATCGCGCGGCTCCGATAAGTGCGGTTTTATCATGTTCATTTCAACAACTTGCTACCAATTTTATCTAAGGGGCAGTACCTAATCTTAACATAAATCCCCTTTCTCGAATGCCAATCGTTCCTTTCCACAATTTGCCACAGTTCCGTGTGCAAAATAAACATAAATTCCAGCCATGAGCGCTTTAATCGTTTCCCAGGTGATATGCATGTTTTTATTGTTAATCGGCACTTTAATATTCGGGATAAGTCCCGTTTTTGTTCAGAAAAAACTCTTTCAGTGCAAATGCAGTGGAGAAACTTGTGAAAAGTCCTGTCGGGCTAGAAAAGGTAAAATAATTACTTCATTCCTCATCTTTTTTGGCGGCGGCGTTCTCCTCGGAACCTGCTTTCTTCATCTCCTACCTGAGGCTCGTGAGGGTTTTGAAAGCGATGATGAAAAAGTCATAAATGTGACGGAAAACGCAACTGATGAGGGAAAAAATGAAGATCACGAGAAATTTTCAATACCGGAATTTATCGTATGCTGCGGATTCTTCGCAGTTTACTGCTTTGAAGAAATAGTCCACTTCTTCCTCGGTGGACACACTCACGTACCAACAGAGAATCGAGCCATTAGATCATTTTCACGTAAAAATTCTTGTTCTTCTCGTTGCAGCATTGGCGAACTGTCTACATCCGGTGATCACAAAGTGCCCAAAGACACTCCTGCACCCCCGCCACCATATTATGAAGAACACCATGACATACCTGAAAAGATTTCTCTCGTGGGACTGTTAACAGTGGCTGCGTTGTCATTTCATTCTCTCTTCGAAGGTTTTGCTGTCGGTTTACGTCCCGATGTTATTGGCACGTGGATGGTATTTTCTGCCATTGCTGTTCACAAATACGTCATATCCTTCGTTGTTGGACTGGAGATTCTAGCAAACGGTGGTAAAAATATGCAAATTTATATTTACATGTCCATCTTTGCATTGATGTCACCAATTGGAATGGCTATAGCTATGATTACTCAAAGCAATGTGGAGGATTCAAGTCCTTTAACCGTTAGCGTTCTGAATGCTATAGCAACAGGTACTCTACTGTATGTGACATTCTTCGAGATTCTACAAAGACAAGAACACAAGGACATATCCACCTGGTTGCAACTAATAGCAACTTTTGCCGGTTTTGCTCTCATGTGTCTCATGCAATATGTCAGCACTCTTGTATAATATGAAAAAATTTGTTACAGTAGCGTGATAATATTTTTTCAAATCATTGTAAGACTCCTGAAGCCAAATAACTGGAAAGTATAAATTCATCAATAGGAGTGTTTTAAACAAGTGTCTTTGGTTGTAAATATATATATATATAAATATCTTTATTTTTAAGAAGTGATCTTGTGTTTTTAATTAAAAGATTTCAAAATGAAGAACATCATATGTGATTAAAATGAGGAGAACTGCTATTCATCATAAGGTAAAGTATATTTAAACAGAACTTATATTGCAAAAAATATAGTTATTAATGAAATTAAAATATACTTATTTGCACTCCGAGAAAGCGAGTGTCAGATGTAAAGTTTAAACTAAAGGCATTGTTTATATAAGTAAGGAAATGATAAAGATATATTTAGTAATTTTAAAACAGTGACAACATGACGCGACATTAATGAAATTAAATTTTAAATATTATAAAAACAGAATTTAGATAATTTGTAATATTTAATAATGAATAATAAAAGTAATATAATGAAATATTATTAATAATAATAAATACATTTTATAATGAAAATTGTTATTGCCGTATTTACCTATTACATCTTGTTAAAAATACTTTAAAATTATTTTCATGTTAAATTAGAAGCAATTTTAATTTTTAAATGTGATATTAATTTAGAGATTGAATAATATAATCCACAGGAAGTGTACCGATAAATTTAAATTTAATTTTTAATAACTTTGCAATGTTTAATAATTTTATCGCAATGAAATATACCGTTCTTTTCCATGCTAAATATATAAAAATTAGAAATTTTAATATATAGTACTTCGTTGAAAGGAATTTAAATGTAATAAATGTAATATAATACCATGTAATGCAATTGCATTATAACAAAACTATATTTAACAGCTACATTTTCTTTGCAATTCCTTTAGAAACTTTTAGAAACTCAATTGCTATCTTTACCTTGTTATCAAAGTATTGTCTCTCATTTTTTCCTTGTATTTTAAATATACTTATATCCCTAATAAGAATTCTGAACCGATTTTCTTTACTGTGTTATCATTATTTTGCCACGCATTATGTATTGAAATATTTGCACATTGCCATGAAGCAGATAAAAGCAGTATTTCAAAATATTGATTCAATTGTTCAACAATACGTTTTAACTCAAAGGAGCGTTAGCTCAGAATGACTATTATTCTCGAAACGGGGATTATACGTTCAGTCAACAATAAAATATTGAATCACTCTTCACATTGTTGCCACCAAATATAATCGACCTGCATTATTTTAAAACAAATTAACTGAAAGAGAATGCGTATGAATTTAGGTATGTTTCGTGCGTTGTGAAAAAAAGACGGTACTGTAGGTACTGTAATGTATTTTTCAGTATTCAACAAAATAACAGATGATCTTCTTAGTAAAACATAAATTTTACTTTTTGCTTACGGAGATAGATAATTTGAGTACAATCTTTTAGTTACAAATTTTTCATGCATCTACTAGCTGGAAAACTTTCAGAATAACAATTTTAAACAATCTCTGACGTTGCTGAGCAACGGTTACGTGATACAAATATGGCGTAGCCACTCCAATATAGAAGGATAATAAATATAATAATTTGTTAAATAATAAAATATTACTGTACCTAGAGCCATCAAATTTTCCATCACCCGAACATGGGCATTTGGTTGCTCGAATTTTGAATTTCGAATTTGTTTTTTTACCTTACCTGTTTCATATTTTGTAAAATTGTAATTAATTTTTGATTAAAGAACTCAACAATTTCAAGGCTGGCAACACTGTTCACACACACAAAAAGAAAAAAAAATTGTATCTCTAGGTTACGAGACTGTCTGTTGGAAATTCTAAACATATGCTGTTTTTAAATATTTTGTGATTCTGCTGTTGAATTGAATTGTATGTGGTTTAAGTGCGAAGAACATGATATTTAACAAATAAGTTTAACACAAAAAATGTTTAAAAAGCGTACCTTGGAGAGTAATATAAAACCTAAAAGCTTTCAGATTTTTTATTTTTAGTTCTTTCGTCAATCAAATATTTTCTCTGGGAAGTTAAGTCTCGTTTTGTTTTGTTTTGTTTTGTTTTGTTTTTTCGACACACAATAATATTAGATTCTTCTCATATTTTATATCCAAGTGTCTAATTCATATAACAAGTAATACAAAAAAATTTTAAGTCCATTCCTACATAGGTCAACAAAGAAACATTTTAAAAATACAAAAAAATTTCAATATCTGAAAAAACTGTATTAACATCAAGTGCCATCCACTACAAGTTTAAAAAATTTAATTGATCTTGAGTGAATGAATAAAAAGTACTTTATTAACGACTGAAAATTAATTAATTAAATAAAAAAATGTAAAGTCAGGTCAACAAAGAAAAATTTTAAAAATACAAAAAACATTTCAAAAATACGAAAAAAACTTTTTAAATTAAAAATTTAAAAAAAAAATTACAAATTAAAAAGAATGTATTTGAACTTGAGTGGATGAATAAAATGTCTTTTATTAACCACTGAACATTTGAACAAGATATAGGGAGAGTGTAAGCTAATAGCTGGACTTTAATAATTTTCCAACGTTCCAGTTCCTCATCTTGTATTTTTAAAATTTGATTTTGAATAAAAGAAGGGAGTAAAAATTGAAATCTTATTAAATACCATTCAGTACTACACACTACAATAAAAATTGTTTCTTTCAGCTGTAACTAAATTTAGTTAATTATATTGAGAGCAATTGTTTATAATTTTATATATTTATATTAATAAAGCGCTTAATAAATTTCTCTTTATTCTGCTTGCAAACGAGACAAATCCTATTTATTACATAAAAATGCTGGTTGTTGGTAAAGTGTAACCTTTGAAATGATTAACTGATTAGAAAAACTGATTAGAAACTGATTTGAAATGATTAGAAAAACTAGTAATTGTTATTGTTAACTATGCAGAATTTTTTTCAAATTCATTAATATGGAGAGTTGCTAAATTAAAACGTGTTTCTCATTTAAATGGGGTAAATCAACTTTTTTAAAGTATTGCATAAGCACTGCCAAAAATTACCCTATGCCTGACCATGATAGCCTCTCTATCATATTAACATCAAGGTAAGATCGGAGATAAATTATATTAAGATTTATCATGGGTGGTATATATTGTAGAACGGAATACTATATAGGGAAATTTTTTCTTTGGTTTCTGTTTTACCCCTAGATTTGGAATATTTATCATTTATATTTAATTTTTGCCCTGGAACTATTGTGTATAGTTATATTACCAGAAGCTTGCAAAAAAATTTAAAACCAGTCTAATTCTTTACTATATCTCCCCTTTCTTGGAGCATATGTAAATTATCCGTTTTTGATACCAGTGCCTTAAGATGCAGCTGGACGGAACTAAATACTTATATATTGTGCTGATTGCTGCATCTTAAGGTTCTGATAACGGTAAAAGGTAAGGTGTGTGTGTGTGTGTGTGTGATTATGGCAAAGCCTCGAGGGCTATCTGCCTAAGGGGAGATATCTGCTGTTAGAAGCTTCTTTGTTTTTAGTTTCAGATTTTAAATTATTCGTTTTCCTGTAATCAGCATATAACACTGGCCAACGAAATTGTACTTTCTTCTTGATCAAAAAAAAAAGTAAAACTGTAATTCTAAAATATTTTTTTAAAGATTAAACTTTGTTATACATTTTCCACATCCTGGTGCATCTGAGTTATCATATGTTAAAAGACAGTGATAAGAATGAGAGGAAATAGATTAATGTTAAAAAAATGTGGATGATAGGAAAAAAATATGTTTTTGTTTTTGTTATTAGTACACAAAAACACATAAGAATTAGCATAAATTTATATTTAACAAGATCACTGCTGACAAGTATCATGTACGAAACGCTTAATTACAAATAAAGATGTTTCTGACTATCAACATATGTTTTTATCTTTTTTTAATTAATTTTTCAACGTATTTCTCCCTTTTATATTTTTTCCTGGCAAGAGTTTCACATTCTACTCTTTCTGGTAGCGTCTTTGTTTTCTTTGGATACGTGGGAAATTCCATACTAATACATTTATAAAGAACTGTCACACCTCTTACATGCAATGCCCTGGGTGGATTGAACTAGCACTTGAAGATCAATGGTTCAAATCCGCGGGAGAGTACAATAGGCTTCATGTAAATACTAGCTTCCCAGACACTTGATAGTCTCTATATATTAATTTCGTTTGTGATGAGAATTACTTCTCCCCCTTGATATACAAATCAAAGTAGTAGGAAACATACAAAACAGGATAATTGTCTGTTGAAGACGGGGGAAACGTATACAAAATAGGATCAAGACACGACTACAGGAGTTAAAGAATCTAATAATATACTGTACGGGGTTCATCGAAGGAAGTTCTTGCCGTCTCGGAGACGTCAAAGTCTACAATGGCACATGAAATGAATGATGTCTCCTAGACGTCATTGTATGTGAAGGGGTTAATTTCCTTTCTTTAAAAAAAAAAAAAAAGTATACTTTCAAATCTTTCTCCGCGGGTATTTTGCATTCTTATAAAAACACTTTTTATTAATTATATTATACTTACAATCAATTCTATTAACATCCTATTAGCTATTAGCTTTACATATTTTTAATTGCACGTTTCTGTGAAAATGCTTTTAATTGTTCCTATTGATCATCTAATCCCTAGATAATTTCTCAGTTATTAAATTACAAGGTTATTTGCCTACAAGAGTACTTTCTCATTCTGATAACCTTTTATAATCAATTAGTTTAAACAAAATAAATGAAAAATCATATGTTTAACTATATATTTCGATAACTCAGCAAATTAAGGACTTTTACTCGATGTTTTTGGAACAGTCTAAACAAATATGATACATATTTGCTCGATCTGATATATCAATTGTTCCACATAACTATTTAGTTATGTGGAACAATTCTTTGGAACTCCAAAAGAAGTTCCAAAGAATATACTTTGCCGCCAAATTAAACCAGCCATCTTTCTGTATCTTAGTAATGGAAAAATGGTTCCGCCCATCAAATATCATTTGCATAGAGATACCTTTTAGGAAACCGTCAGTATATTACTTATCTTCACACAGAAATTTCAATGAATTTCCCAAGAGGTTGCTCAGTGTCAGCCCTT